GATCACCAGCAAACTTCAGAGGCTGGGGTAGAGCCTGGAGCCCATTCCCCCACGAAGCTCCCAGAAGGAGCCAGTGTCAGTAGCACTTAGATCTCAGACCCCCACCCTCCATAAACATGAGGCAGTGTATTGTTCAAGGCACCCAGTTTGAGGAAAATCCCTGTGGCTGGACAGCAGCGAGAGGCCTGTGTGGCTGGCAGCAGGCACACTTCTGGAAAGGATGCTTGAAGAGGCTCTTGTGGTGGCTTTAGGTCTCCCCAGCAGGTGGGAAGCTCCTGGCTTCCAGACACCTGCAGGTGGCATAGGGAGCACACAGGCTGGTGTGAGAGGGCAAAACATCACTTTCTTCACGCATCGAAGGATACTTTCAGGAATTTTGGTACATTGAGACTTCAAGTTGTTGCTCTCTTAAATTCCAGGCATGTAGACCATGTTAGAGCGTGTGTCTTAGGTTTATGTGTTCTTTCTGTGTCTGTATGTTTGTTTGTATAGGTGCATGTACATATGGGTGTTTACACATATGTGTCAATGTGTGTGGAGGCCAGGGATCAGCTGCAGGTATTGTTCCTCAGGTGCTATGTGCCTTATTGTTTAAAAATTTTATTTATTATTATCATTATCATTATTAATTATTATTGATGTATGTGGAGGATACAGGTCAACAATGAGTGTTAGACTCAGTCACTTTCCACATTTTTTTTTTGGTCTTTTTGAGACAGGGTCTCCCTGTAGCCCCAGCTGTCCTGGAACTCACTATGTAGACCAGGCTGGCCTTGAACTCACAGAGATCCGCCTGCCTCTGTCTCCTGAGTGCTGAGATTAAAGGCTTGTGCCACCACGTCTGGCTTCCACATTATTTTTTAAGACACTGTCTCAACTTCGTGGAGGCTGCTTTCTCCCTTCACCTTTATATAGGTTCCAGGGTTGAACTCAGGTTGTCAGGCTTGTGCAACAAGCACTTCTACCTGCTGAGCCATATCAGTGGCCCCCCACACTGTGTTTTCAGGCATGGTCTCTAAGGAGCTTGGAGGTCACTGAGTAGGCTAGGCTGGCTAGGCACCAATGAGCCCCAGGGATCTGCCTATTCCTGCCTTCTCAGAGCTGGGATTACTAGCATGTGCTACCATGCCCAGCTTAAAACAATTTTTTTAAATGATGGTTCAACCACTACCAAATGAAAATTTCTTTTAAAAATATAATCATGACCTATTACAAGATGCACCTATTTAATTATGTGAAGCAACTCAGCTTTAAACAACACCTTCAGGACACATCTGTAAATCGTGATGGAGCCTTCTAGGTCTCATGGGGAGCACAGAGCTTCAGCTGTGGGAAACGTTACTGGGAGCTGGATGCAACTGACTCTTGGGACTGGGCTATAGGGGTCTGTAAAGATTCCTTGTTAAACAGGTATGGCCCACTGATTGAATTGAAGGATGTGTTCCTTCTTGTATTTGTGAAAGAGGGTGACCATTACAGCCTCCTGACTACCTCCCCATCACTCACTCACCAGGTAGAGATACCACTGGGCAAGGTTGGCGTGCTTCTTGATTGTGACCTTGGAAGTGTGAGTTTCTTTAATGTAGCCAAGAATTCCCTCATATGGTGGTACCCTGCTGATGCCTTCAATTTCCCTGTCAGGGCTTTCTTCTCGTCCAGCTGCATATGATGGGGACAAGCTGTACCCTAAGCCATCCATAGCTCAGGGAGCCTATCTCAGTTGAAGTTAAGCAATAATGTAGAGCTTTAGTGCCTAAGTGTTTCCTACTTTATTGTTATCTATTTTATTGAAATTAAACATTTAATATAGAATGCATTTTTTTTTTTTTTTTTTTTTTTTTAAAGACAGGGTCTCCCTGTAGCACTAGCTGGCCTGGAACTTGCTGTTTAGACTAGGCTGACCTCAATCTCACAGAGATCTGCCTGCCTCTGATTCCCGAGTGCTGGGATTAAAGTTGTGCACCAGCAAAAAAAAATGTTTTTGAGACAGGGTCACCCTGTAGCCCCAGCTGGCCTGGAACGCACTTACGAGAGAGAGAGAGAGAGAGAGAGAGAGAGAGAGAGAGAGAGAGAGAGAGAGAGAGAAGGACAGAGGACAATTTGCAGGAGTCCGTTTTCTCCTTCAACTCTGTGGGTTCCTGGGAGAGAACCAGGTCCTCAAGCTTGTCAGGTGCTTTTGTTGGCCCATTCGTCTTGCCAGCGCACACCCAGCGGTTTTACATGGGTATCAAGGATTTAACTCAGGTCCTGGTGACTGTGCGGCAAGCACTTTACTGACTGAGTCATCTCCACAGCCCCTTAAGTTAAAGGCTGTTGTTCTTCCAATGGCAGCACTTCGTTCTTCCCTTCAGGAATGTGCTCTGTGCCAACCATCTTGGAAACACACACTTGGAAACACATGTGCCTTTTTCTGTACCTGAGGTGGAGACACAGCTGGGGAGAAGGATTTTTCTCGTAAGAAGAGCTATGAGATGAGCAGATGGCATTGACACCTGCACCTGGGAGACTGGGGTGAGGGGACCCCACACTCGGTGAGCCTCAGTGTAGGGCAGACCAGATGCCTCTTCTACAATACCTGCATTTGTAAGGAACTCTAGGGATTTCTAGGCAAAAGGGACAAGATTTTAAATATTGTTCAATCTTTCCCTGTTCTGTAACTAGTTTTACTGGTTTCTGTAAAACTATAGCTATCCACAATTTTTTTTTGTTTGTTAATTCCTGTCCACAGAGGTAAGCTGATGTCCCCTCTGTACCCTTTCCCCCATGCTTACAGTCATTCCTGGCACAGAGTGGCTGCTCCATAAATGGTTGGGTAAACAGTATTCATCACTGTGTATGTGTCCCAGGATTCCACCAACCTCTTCCTATGCAGAAACATCTTGGGGCTGCGGTAAATGAAATTTGGATCTTAAGGTCAACTCTGAGTGTGTGTGTGTGTGTGTGTGTGTGTGTGTGTGTGGAGGGGGGAGGAATGTGTGTCTATATAAATGTGTGTGTGAGAGTGCGTGTGTGTGTATTAGTGAGTGTGCACGTCTGTGCACATGTGCACTCACATCAAGGACAAAGATCAACACTTGGCATCATCCTCAGTTGCTTTCCACGTTTTCTTTTTTTCAGACAGGTTCTCCCTGTACCTCCAGCTGGCCCGGAACTTGCTATGTACAGACTGGCCTCGATCTCACAGAGATCCACTTTCCTCTACTCCCCAAGTGCTGGGATTAAAGACGTGCACACCACGCCTGGCTCTCTGCATTACTGTTTTGAGACAGGGGCTCTTGCTGCACTTGGAGCTTGTTGATTCTCCCAGGGATCCTCCTGTCTCTGCTTCCCTATACTGGGTTTACAGGCACAGGCCACTACACCCAGCATTTCATGTGGGTTCTGGGGATCCGAACTCAGGTCCTCATGCTAGTATGGCAGACACTTCATTGATGGCTGAACTGTCTCTCCAGCTCTCTCAAGGTCAGTCTTTGAATCTAGCTGTATTACTGTGTGTAAGTACCTGGGAGAACCAAGGAGAGGGCAGAGTGCTCTCCTTGCTGCAGTGTGCATGCCTGCTGCAGAGTTCAGGGAGGCTGGCCACATGCTTGCCTCTGTGGCTCCCATCTACCATCTGTCAGCAAGCTTTTAGGAGAGAATTACATGTGTGATTTATTTGTAAATCCTTTCAGGTCCTGCAGGAGAGACACTCAGCACACAGTGCACTCTGTCATCATGTGTCAACATCCCCTTGACGCCAAGAGCAGCATTACACGATGTCAGGGTGTAATTGGATTGTGCAGGATCCTTAATCTACATTTTCATTTACCAAAAGCCACATCATTGGGAGAGCCATTTGAAATTGATGCCAGGATCTGGGGGTGGGGGGCAGCATGTGGAAAAACAAAGGACATCCATAAAGCCATGGAGTGCGTGTTTCATATTTACAGTCAGTAAGTTTATAAATATATATTACATTCTTACAATCTACAATACATTCTACATGTAGAGGGACTTGAGAACAGATGGCAGCTGTAGGTAACACCACACAGGTAAGAACAGGGAAAAATTGGAAAGTGGGTGACTGAAAGCAAAGGATTATCATGGCAAAAGATGGCAGTTCCATCACCCACCCAAGCAAGGGGAGTCAACCTGGAGATGGGGGGACGGTGGCTTGCTGGCTGTCAGAGGCAGGATAGCACCACAGTCAGAGGGGAGAGGGCCCGTGGAGGTGGTGGGAACCCACACATATCTCTAGGGAGAGTCTCTTAAAAGGCAGGACCCAGAACAGTAAGGAAGGAAAGGGAGGAGTCAGAGAAGGAGGAAGAGACAGATAAAGTAAAGAGAGAGGAAGTGGAGAGAGAGCTTCAGAGCAGAAGTCCAGCAAAAGTTCTGAACAAGAGAGAGAGGGAAATGACGTCATCAAAGATGCACTGAGCAGTCAGGCTCCTTCACGTTGTGCTCTGCCATCTTTCTCAGGGTCGTGGCTATTTTTCAAACCACGATTGTTGCCTCACCATGAGCCTGGGATGGAGTAGGGCTCCCCGATCTCAACTCCTTCTCCATCTCCATAGGCTTAGCATCCAAGGGATCTTAGGGACACCTATTGGTCATTTTGATTTTCAGCAACGAAACTTTCAGGGCTGACTTTGGGTCCAAGTGCTTGCATAAGCATGCACACACACAAATTCACACACACACATGCATGCATATAGACACACATGTACATAATGCATACATACACATACATAACACACATACACAGTGCACACACATGCACACATAGGCACACACACAGGTACACCCAAGTGCACTCACACAGAACATACACAGACATACACACATACACAGACATGCATACAAGCACACATAGGCACACACAAAAATACACACAAGTGTACTCACACAGATACACGTACACACAGGCACATATGCACACATAAGCACACAGACACACAGGCACACATAGGCACACACATAGGTACATACACAAGTGTGCTCACACAGAACACACACACACACACACATGACCCAGGCAGTGCCTCTTGCCCTACATCTCTCATGCTGGCCAAGTATGCAAGGCCTACTTTCCCGATGCCTACCTCTTACAGCTCTGCTCAGCCTGCCTGCTCTACGTGCAGGGATTCATCTTAACATCCCAATGGCAAGTTGTCGGAAAGGAGACCCAACACGAGTGGTGGTGGACCCCTCAGAGGGAAGCATGTTCCTGAGGCCTTCCTTTACAGAATGCCGCCCAGCTGACACAAAGCCCAGGGAAGGAGAGCGGGCAAGTGGATGCTGGAAATACCCTGCTCTGTCCCACCCACAAATGAGCAATGGCTGCCCAAAGGGTGGTAGTGGAGTGAGGTCAAGTTCAAACCCAGTGAACTTGATAAAGGGGCCTGGTTGTCTGTGCCCAGTGTCCTTGGTTTACAGGCAGAAGGTTGCTCTGATATGCTCCAAAGTGTGTGTGTGTGTGTGTGTGTGTGTGATGTAGTTACAAAGATGTCTGTGGCCTAGTCATCCACGTGTTTCCCTTCTGCCCTTGTCAACATCTGCCTTGGCCCATCAATAATCCCCTGCTAGCTCTGACCTATCTTTGGGAGCTAGTAGCTCACTATAGCGTCCTGCAGCTGACAGCCAGTGAGCATGTCGACAGCCAGCCTTGCTGCTCGGCTCAGATGCCTGCTTCCTCGATCCGTATACTCTCTACCCAAGCCCACTTTCCTTTTTGTCTGCACTATTGAATATCAGAGCTGTGTGGATTTCACAAAACCCAAATTTCTTAAAGGCAGAGCTTTCTTTCCCGGAAACTCTCAGAACCCCTCTTTGTTCCAAGTTTAAAAACATTTTGCCATGCACGGATAAACCTCTTCAGTTGGACCAAGGCATTGTGTGTCATGGTGTGTGCATGGGTACCGACTCTGAGCCCCCGTGGGTGAGTGGGGATCATTTCCTGGGGCTCCATGACCGGTGTCACCCTAATTGAGTCTTCTTGTCTCATTCAGTCCCTGGGCACCACGTGGCTACCGCCCATGCCTGGGTTAAAGGCTGAGAGGTGAGAACAGTGTCTGTGTGTTACACATGTTCACGTTGCCTCTCCATGCAGCTGGGAAGCTCTGTGCACTCCCCTGGGCCCAGGGCCTGGCAGACCCACTTAATGTCATCATCACTACTCAACACCATGGTGCTCCCAGCAGGGCAGCCGTCATCTGAGGAGATGGCGGAGAAGGTGGAAAATGTCACTCTTTTCCTTTTGGAGGTAGGGGATGTGGGGGGCTCACTTTTCTGATCTTTCCAGTCTGTGAGCATGGCTCCCTCGGACTTGAGCAGTTGCCCATTGATGCTGTTCTGTGAGTTCGAGCTCAGGAGGAATTTGCTCTCCTCGAAGTCCAGACCTCTGTCGATGGCAGTGATCTGCTCTTCCTGGGAGGAGGCAAAACTCATGTGATTCTCCAACAACTCTGTCCGGTTGCTCAGCCCAACCCAGTCGTGAGAGTGACTCAGACCTTCCTGCTCCTCGAAGGGAACCTGTTTGTGCCTGTACTTAAGGGCAAAAGTCACACAGTTGATTAGGAACACCATGATGGCCAGGCAGAAGACACCCAGCAAAGCATACATGCCAATCTCCAGGTCGCTCAGCCCCTTGGCTGCCTGCTCAGGGTCATGTTCATCCATGTCTATGTTGCTCCTGGGGAGGTCTACCTGGTCTGGGAAGCTGGTGAGGTCTGTGGTCATGGTCTGTGCAGGGATGACGTCCTCTAACAGGCTTTCCTGGCTGTCCTTCTGAAAGGTGGGCCTCTTGGTAGGGCTACCCCACCCTTCCATGAGCCCCACAGAAGGACTGCCATAGAATGGCCCTTCGGGGCTCCCCCACTCCTGCAGAGGCTTCTTGGACCTCCTGTTGCCAATGTTATTCTCCAGGTGAAGTCCAGCCCCAAGGTGTCCGCCCTCGCTGCTGTTGGGGTTGGCATCATTTTGCCCAAATTTAACTTTGATGTTGGCTGTTCCCACAGCCAGCACACTCTTCCGCTTAGATTTCTGACAAGATTCACTGATCAACATCTCCACCTTCACCAGAGCACCTTGTCCTTCATTTTCAGCAGCAATGATAGGCCACTTGAACTTGGGGTCCTGGAGGATGGAGACCACTTTCTCATCCAAGGATGTGGCCATCAGGGAGAAGTCCTTGCCGTCGTAAATGTCCAAGGGTGTGACGGAACCATCACTGAACTGCACCCAGCAACTGAGGGCTGCTTCCTGTGGGGAAAGAGGAGTTGGTCAACATGGGTCAGTAAGCTCAGCAAGCACACACAGGAGACGGAGCTTTTTTGGGGAACGAAGAGAGCCAGTTAGACAATGTAGGCTGTCAATGTGAAGTTGATTGCAGAGCACAAAAGGAGGCGAATTCCTACAAAGATAAAAACTAAAGAAAGCAACAAAAAAGAGCCAGATTAAACCCTCCATAAGAACCAACTTTTGAGTCCTCGCTTTTAAAATTTAATAACGCATCGAGCCCAGTTTGTGATGTTTATATACTCCTGGGTGTGGGGCCATCTATTGGAGTGCCATCGACCTACCAGGAGCCACACTCTTAAAGAAAACAGACTCTTCCTCCCCAAAAAGTTATAAACTGTCCATAGTTGGGGTGAATATAATCAAAATATATTGTATGAAATAGCCAAATGTATTTATTTTAAGGACTTGGTTTTTGAGGTTGGGTATGTAGCTCAGTTGGTAGAGTGCTTGCCTAGCAAACATGAAGCCCTAGGTTCCATCCCCAATTCCACCTAAACCTAGGCATACCCCTCTAATTTCAGTATTTGGGAGGCAGAGACAGGAGAATCAGGAGTTCAGGGTCATCTTTGGCTATGTAATGCATTTGAAGCTAACCTGAGCTACTTGAGACTTGGTCTCTAAAAAATTAAGATTTTTTTTCCTGGATCAGATAGACAGATGTGCTCAGAGACTGTCCACTTCTGCACAATAATAAATTGCATGTCAAACAGCAGAGCTGGTGAATGAGCTCCTTTGTGAGAGCCACACATGTGAATGAAAAGTATCAATTCATATGACATTGCCTTATAATCCAGTCACATTATCATATACAGCTCAAATTCAGGGCATTGATCTACACAGGCACCTCCTCAGGGCTTCTGAGAGCCATGGTTTTATTGGCCCTGCCTTCTCTGGGGCTATAATAGGCTTGTGTTTACCTAGGGACAAAGCCTTGCCTTGGAGGTGGGTTTCAGGAAACCAGCCACTACTTCCCCACGCCCTCTGTCCCAACCAGTGGGAGGTAACTTGGAGACACAAAGGCAGTGTGAGGCCAAACCTCTGCATGTTTCCATCTCTCATCTTCTCTGCTCCATGCTTTGGACCATCAGCCTTCATGCATAGTCTGAACAGGGGCTTGGTGGATGTATTTCCATTCCAACGAAAGCCTTAGATCTCAGTGAAGATGTCAGTATGATTGGAAGTGGTTGGGCACGCTCACTACTTCCCTCTCCTCTAGCTCCCTGGAAAGCCCACTCTACCCCATCTTCCTATCTCTATCCTCCAGGACCCCCAGTTCAAGTCCAACATGGGGAAGAGTCTTGTGAGACCCACATATGGTCTGCATGGGAGACTACAGTGACAGTCTGAGCAGCACTGAACAGGGGTCAGACCCTCCCTCTCTCTTTCTGTCTTTCATATCTCAAAGAAGAAAGACAGACTGAAGACATTAGTATGGAAAATGAGTAGTGAGAGCTTACTTAAATTGGAAGACTGAGGCCTCTCTTTGGGGCCACCATTATAGATCACAAATAAGTAAATATATGAGTGTGGTGATTATCCACAAGAAGAGACAAAGTAATAAGCAAGATTCCAGAGGAGGAGAGTGGAACAAGACTTCCTGGGTCTCACAGCCCAGACAAGAGTCCCCCACCCTTCCATCTTCTACCCAACTCTGTGTGATTGAAATTTGCTTGGGTTTCTTTTACTTCCAACTTAACACCCTCAACTGGCAACAGAAGTAAGTGTTCTGTGAGTGCTGTTCAGTCCTTGGAAGAGACAAAGCAAGGTTCTTGAAGGCTGGTAACTTCCACTCCTCCTCCTACTCAGCCAATAAATATCAGTCTTATTAGATAGTGGCTCAAACCAACTTCAACATGGGACTCTGGCCAGGACACAGTGCAAAGCCACAGGGCATCGCACTGATTCTCAGGTGGCTCCACTCTGCCAGGAAATCAGTGGGGGATTCAGACAAGTAACTGGCTTCTAGAAGTTGCCAGGTCACAGCCAAAGGACCAGGGGCTGTGCAGCCATCTGTGGAGCTAACCCTCTAGTAGCAGGTGAGGTGCTGCATGCCAAGAGTAGATTAGCTTTTTTCTGGCTGTGTCTTCTCTCTTCTTAACTCCTAAGTGGCAGTGGTCTTATGTTTTCACCCACTAAGCCAGGAAGAAGCCTTCCCGCTCTCCTTTGCTATCTGTGCCTGGCAGGCTGGAGGCCCTTCCTTGACAAAAGGGAGGCTTGATTTTGTCACTAGGACCATTAATGCTCAAAAGTTTTCTAATCCCAAACCCACACACCAAGACTGTGGTATCAGGATTGGCTAGCACCTGAGAGGGGAACATGGAGTGAAGGTCCAGGTAAGGAGAAGGGAGTCTCCAGGGGCTGAACTGGGCTCCATCCTCAGTCCTGCTCTGAGCATGGGCAGTGTCTGAATCTGGTAATCCTTCCTGCTGAAGGACAGTGGTGGAAACGTGGCTTCTGACTGATAGGGAAGCTTCCAGAAAAGTCTCATGGGTGGGCTGGAGGCTTCCCATGGTCATACATGAAGATGACCCTGTATCATGGGGCATAGAGAGAATCTCAGGTGGGCTGGAGGCTTCCCACAGCCACACATGAAAATGACATTACGTAATGGGACCAGAGAGAACTGATAGTTGGTGACTGCTGTTTTTTTTTTTTTGTGTGTGTGTGAAGTAATTTCATACAAATCTCTATGTTCCATTCTAAGAAATAATATTTTTCCACCTTTACAGAAGGAGGTGGACATATTCTATCTGCAGATTTCCTATGTACAATCCCCTGTGCATGGAAGCAACTGTGTCAACATATACATTCCGTACAACTGCATATAGCAGAGCGAATTTACATACATGACACCCTTACAACATACAAGACAATGCACATTACACAATACATATCACATGCAATACATACATACACACAACACATGGTACACACAGGTGTATATATACATACACAAACCTCGTCTGTACTGACTTCACTTGGGTTATGATGATCTAACCTGGGGTACACTAACCTCAATGGGGGTGTCCTGGCTTCACCTAGGGTATGCTAACCTCATCTGGTGTGTGATGACCTCACCTGACTGTGCTGACCTCACCTGGGGTGTGTTGACCTCACCTTCAGTGTGCTGACCCCACCTTCAGTGTGCTGACCCCACTGGGCTGTCCTGATCTCACCTGATCTTTGTTGACTCCACTGGTAGCGTGCGGATCTCACCTGGGTTATGCTAACCTCAACTGGTGTGTACTGACTTTACCTGAGGTGTTCTGACCTCTGTTGGGGTGTGCTGACCTCCTCTTACCTCCTTACCTGTTTGGGCCTCTGCAGAAGTTCTTGAGCCACTGCTGTGGCAAAGATGGCTCTGTTACTCCCAGGGCTGAGCTGCAGGGAGAGTGACAGCCCTGTTACCAGCTGGACCCCAAGGTCTGTGATGGTCACCTTCTCATCCAGCACCGTGATGGTCTTTTCAGCCAGGATGGCATCCGACAGAGGGGACAGGATCTGCAGGGCAGAACCAAGAGAAGGGGAGGCCCTGTGTGGTCATAGCACTTCATCCAATGGCACACCTCAGAGTGACAATGACACTGAGACCAAGGGAGCAGGAGTGGGCTTTCCCACAGAGGCCTTCCTCAAAAGTATACCCTGAAGGTAGAAATGCAGCATATTTCTACATGACAGTACTGGGCCAGGTGGGGTGCTTGCTATTCTTCTACCCGAAACCAATGCCCCTTGTCATTCTGTCCCACCCTAACCCTCAACACAAGGGATCAATGTGTTCCTTTGAGTATGATGATTTGTACATGGAACAGATCATTTCTGCTATTGCCAATCCACGTGTTTTAAAAATTATTTGACTTCTAAAGAGCTTTCATTTTCCCCAAAGAGCCTGAGTTGATGCTCTAGTTGTAACTAATTTCTCTGATACCCTAGCTGTAGATTCATTCCCACCCCTCTCTCAGTGCAAAGCCAGCGTGTGACTAAAAAGTGAAGCTTCTTGGTCTGAGTACCCTCTAATCCCATCTCTCCTGTCCTGGGTTCTTGACTCCAGACTAAAAGACTCTGAGCCATGAGGCCCAGCGGCATTTGAAATCATGCCCTGCCTCATGTGACACAGACACTCTTGTTTTGAGTCTATCCTGGTGTGATTGCTTTCTAGTCTTGGTTCCATTTGCACACTTCTGGTGACAGGGAATGAGGCTGTGTCCAGCCCAGGCCTGGGCGGAAGTTCTGCTTTCAAAGGATGGAGAGCTGGCTTCCTCTGCTCCCTGTGCATTCTCACCTCAGGGTGAGGTCTGATCCTCTCTCCACCTGCTTTCTTGACTTACTTCAAGTTTCAGGGAGGCATTTAAATAAGCCAATTTTCCCAGGGTTCCTTAAGCCCAGGAATCAAAGCTCATGAGATAAGGGTTTCCAGAAGGAAGCAAAGGAGGGAGTTTTTAACTCAGGGCTCAGTGGGACCAAATACCAGCCCATTCTCCAGAATGAATGAGTTTTACCTATTCCATGATCCAACCTAGTTTGCTCTGAAGGGTTTAGAGACATCAGAGGAGCTGGTGAGATGATCCAGAAAGTAGAGGTGCTTGTTGTGCAAGCCTGATGACCCGAGTTCAATTCCTGGGACCCACTCAATGAAGGAGAGAAGCAACTCCATGAAGTTGTTCTCTGATCTCTACACATGCATACACCCACAAACATCATGCAATGCAATGCATGCATGCATACACACACACACACACACACACACACACACACACTCTAATAATGCAATTAAATAAAAAACAAAGAAACCCCACTGGTTGCTTAAGAAGATGTTCATCTCTTCTGAGGATGGAACACTATTGAGCAATGGACCATTCCTTAATTCCCAGACTGGAGCTAATGACAAACACACATGAGCCTCCCATCCTAGTGCTTTGTAGAAAAGTAACTGCTTTGAAGCCTTAGAATTGTACACACACACTGCACACACTCTCTTGTACACACATGTTTTCATGTTCCAGTATTTCTCTCCCTCCCTCCCTCCCTTTCTCCTTTCTTCCCTCTCTTTCTCTATCTCTCCCTCTCTCCCTGCCCTGGCAGTATTTCTGAGATGCTCTAGTCCCATCAGGCCCAGGCTCAGACTTGGTTTGAAAGGGCAGTAAAGCATGGGTGGATGGAGGGCTTAGATGGCAATGTCAGTGTGGAGAAGTGGCCCAGCAAGAGCTGGTCAGGACCATGATTCAGGCAAGGGAAATTCCTCTCCCAGGCTTGCTTCTCAGGACGGTGAGACCTGCTGTGGCTTAGATGACTTGAGCAACCAGGGATTTAGCTCGTGTCCTGCATATGTAAAATATGAGATTTTCAAGGCTCTCATTACACACTATCCAACTTACACCGCTTACTGGACAATTTCATTGAAGAGATCCCCTAAGAGACTGTTCTGAGCAATGACAGCTGAGTCTCACTTAGAGCAAGGGTACACAAAGCCCAGCCCAATTGTGGGGCGGTCTCACCTGGATGGTGGTCATCCCCAGCTCTTGTCCTGTCAGGATCTGCCCTCCATGCAGTTTGGCAATCCTGGGCTCCTCCACCTGCATGAAGTCATTTATCAGCTCCGTGATGTCCACCTGCCAGTCAGAGCCCAGCAAGTAGGCCAGGTGTCCCCCAGGGTCAGCTGCCTCAGCCACAAACTGGGTCAGGACCCGCACCATGGCGTGCTGGTACTGGAGAGTGCAGCCTCTGCCCCTCTTCTCATCATCCTCCTCCTCCTCACTCTCCCGGGCTGGCCTGTTGAAGAGTCAGATGGTTATTTGTTGGGACAACTGTTGGAGCTCTAAAGGTGAACAGATGCTCCATGGAGTCATTCCCAAAGAGTTCCACCTTGCTCGGGGCTCAGACACACACAGGGGTGAGATTCAGGGTCTTTAAACACTGGTGCGATGGAAGCCCTGATTGGCCAGAGTGGACTGGTATGACAAGCAGTTGAGACCTTCCTAAAGACCACCACCTGTTAGTGTTGACCGTGCCATCTCTTCCCTTCGAGCACAGACTGCACCTCATAAGTGTCTTTGAACAGTGATTGAATAGTCCCTCATAGCATTAAGATTTTTGTTTCCTCTTAAAAGTTTTTATTAGCATATATTAATCATACATAATAATGGGCTTCATTATGACATTTTCATATGTGTACATAATGTATTTTGAGCATATTTAATGCCCCACTATCCTCTCTTATCCTCTTACCCCCAATGATCCCCCTCCTCTTCCCAACTAGCCTCTCTTTTTTCACTTCCTTTTCCCCCTCCCTCCCTCCCTCCCCTTCCCTCCCCTCCCTTTCCCTTCCCTTCCCTTTCTTCTTGTTTTTTTTGGTGAACCAATGTGTTACATTAGAGTTGCTTATAGGAGCATGGGTAACTTACCAGTGGCTGTATCACTGAAGAAAATGTCTTTCCCTCCCCATCAGCCATAAACTGAATATAGATCCCGAGGGTCAAGGCTTTCAGAGGATTTACAGGTGGTTAATTGTGACTGTGGGAATGAGTTCACAAGGTCTTTTACTTTCTTTCTTTAGGGGCTGGAGAGATGGCTCAGCGGTTAAGAGCACTGACTGCTCTTGCAGAGGACCAGGGTTCGATTCCCAGCACCCACATGGTGGCTACTAACCGTCCTTAACTCCAGTTCCAGGGGAATCCAAAGCCCTCTTTTGATCTCCGTGGCATTGCATGACATGGGTACACTCACATACATGCAGCCAATACACTCATACACATAAAATAGAAATAATAAATAAAATACAAAAAAATTGTTTTTATTGAATTTTTCTGTATTTCATCTAGAACATCTCAATCATTCTTAATCATCTTTATACCCCGTCCCCACTGGCACCCTCCCATAGCCCCGCCACTGGAATTCATACATTCTGTCATTTGTGTTAAGGCCTATTGTGTTAAGTTAATTTCTCCAGGCATTCCTCAGTGCAAGTTTATCTACTGAAGTCTAGTCAGCTTATCTAAAGTCCCTCGCTTTAGGAAGATCAACGCTTCCTCACCTAGCAGTAATCAGTTGCCAATATTTCTTCAGCTAAGTTTGGGGTCTGCTGTCCATTTCCCCAGTTCTATGCTGGATTTTTGTCTGCTTCAGTTTGCGTGGGACTTGTAAATGCTGACAACATTGCTGTAGATTCATATGAGCAAGGTCCCAGGAGCTTGTAGGACTCTGTCTCCATATGGTCGTGCATCTCCTCCCTGGCTCTTACAATCTTCCCACCCTCCCTTCTGCAGTGATCCCTGAGCCCTGGGTGGGTGAAGTTTAATATAGGAGTCCTGTTCAAGAACCAGCATTCTGCAGACTCTTAATCTCCACACTTTGGCCATTTGTGACCTTTTGTGTTCCTGGCCCTCCGCTGCATGAGGGGGCTTCATTATTGAGAACTGATTCTTTAGTGTCCTCTTCTTTATCCCTGTTCTATATTTCATGACCCTTAGATGTAGAGGTTGCATTGTAGATATGTTACTTAGGCCTGGGCACTTCATAGACAAATGTCTGTGTGTGACTAGTTGTGGTACATGGTAATATGTAAGAAATAGTTATCCTTGTATTTACAGACAAATGTCCAGGTCACCACTCATCAAAGAAGCTTCTTTTGCACCAGACGGAGACTATTACCATGTACCACAATTGGCCTTTTCTTTCTTTAGGCAGGGTCTCACTATGTAGCCCAGTCTGTCCTTGAAATCTTGATTTTCCTGCGTCAGCTCCCCAAATACTGAACTACAGATGTGCATTACCATGTCAAGCTAAATGATTAGGCTTCAAGACAGTGACATATGTGGCTGTGTTCTGTGACTCTTACTGTCTTTCTGATGAAGTAAGCTGCCATGCCTGCATCTTCCCTATGGTGACATCCACCTGGTGCAAACCTTGTCTTTGGTGGCCATCAGCCAGTGAGGAGCTGAGCCCTGTGGACAACACTTGAGTGCGTCTTTTCTGCAGGAACTGAAAGATAAGAACTGTGGATCCACAGAACTGTAGATTGCAGCCTATGAGACATCAGCTCCTGGCAAGCCCTGCCTACTCTATACAAACCCGAGAAACTGCACAAACTGTTCTTAAAGGCATGCTGAGTTTGAGGTTACGCCCCTGCACGACAATGTTCTAGTCTCCTTTATTTCTGCCTTTCATATTTGTTTAACTGGGAAAAAACATACACACACAGATTGTGTATACTATCTTCTTGCTTGATATGCTATGAGAAATGAGCTACCTGTCATGACAAAGTGTACATACACAGACAGATGGTCTAGGTCAATTACTCGACATAGCTTTTACTGTGATTAAGAGATTTAGGCGTCTGAGGCTGATGCTGGTGTCACAAAGCATATTTTATAGCAAACTTTTTAAATAAGTAGAACCGTATTGTAAAAATAGAGTGCCAATAAACACGTAAGTTGATAGCATAGTTGTTTACTGCCATTATTAAAAATTCTGCATGCAAGTAGCATGCAGAAGTATTTCTATTCTATTTTCCTTTCTGTTGCTGTGATAAAACACTCTGACCAAAAGCAACTTAGGGGAGGAAAGGATTTATTTGGCTTACACTTCTGGATCATAGTCCATCATCGAGGGAGCAGGAACTCAAAGGAGGAATTTTGGAGGACCACTGCCTTCTGGCTCACTCACTGACTCATGCTTAGCTAGCTTTCTTATACAGCCCAGGACCATCTGCCTGAGGAATGATATCACCCACAGTGGACTGGGCCCTCCTACATCAATTAGTAATCAAGACAATTCCCCACAGACATGCCCACAGACTAGTCTGATAAAGGAAGTCCCTCAATTGAGGCTTTTTCTCTCAGACGACTCTAGTCACAGTCAAGATGACAATTAAGGCTAATGAAGATACACAACTGCGGGTAACTAACAAGGCAGCCTGTTATGACTGGCAAAGTTCTCTAAGCTAGCACCTAGAGGAAGGAGTATTTACCCTGAGGTCAGTGAGATTACCATAAATAAGGTGGAAGGGAGCCTCTGGCTTCAAGGAGATGGGTATCAGCTGCTCCCTCACCACCTGATGCCTTGTGTGCACAGTGCCCTTTTCCACCTCAGCCTCTATCCATGCATCAGCTGCTCAGCCCTCAGTTAGCTCACAGCCCTATCTGAGCCCAGTAGCTGTGGCAGTACCTGGGATGAGCTTCCACCAGGCCCAGTTTTCTTCCCATTGGCAGCAGCAGTACTCCCAACACTATTCCTGCAACCCAGCACCTGAAAACCCAGTGCTCTAAAGAAAGATCTATAGAAACCATCTTCCGCTTACCACGGCACACACAGCCTTCCTCCTGAAGCTGTCCCCTCTCCTAGGAGTCATAGGACTAGAGGGGGTACTTCAAAGGGGAAGAATACCAAAGTCCTCCCAGGTGAGAACCAATCCCCACCCTCTGCAGAAGCATTTCCTTGTGTGAGAGGGGTAATACTCTGGCATTTGAAATGTCCCCAGCACAGGGGTCCCCACAGACAGAATGAGCTTCTATGACTTTACCTACCCAGTGTTCACCTGGCTCTGTGATAAATGATGGGGACACTTCACCACTCTACCAACCCCAGCGAAGGGTGCAACAGGTACGCCACAGTGGCCAATCTTCAGGCTTCTCACCAAGGCCAGGAGCTCAGTGCTGCTGCCCTGGGACATGGAGAGGCAGCTAGAGCAGGCGGAGAATCTGTAGTGCTACTTCCTCCTTCCTAGCATCAGCTCCCTCCTTCTTGTGGGTCTCTGCCCCTTGTGCAAGCAGGCTTACTTGTTCCTTCAGCTCTTCTTACTCTAATTGGAGGTTTGTGGCTGGAGTCCAGCTGCCCAGTCAGTAGGTGCTAGGCACTCAGCTACACTAAACTCATAAGGAATGGATGCACAACCAAGGTGAAGGAAAAACTCAGATTCCAGATTTTTGTCCCTGCTCTGTGGAAAGGGAGGTGCACTTTCCATCAGAGGAGCAGGTGGAAAGTAGCCTTATGAGGAAAGCATAACCAGGATGAAGGCAAAGATGGAGAGACTCAGTCCCTATGATACCATGTGATCCTTTGAGTCCACTCTCTCCTGGTTAGCCATCTCTTCGCTTCCTTTGGTTTAAGCACACAGGACATGGCTTCCTGCTAGGGATGCCCCACATGCACACCTACCTTTTATTGGAGACGATGGGTACCCGCCAGCCCTTGATCTGGTTTAGCTCCATGTCCGAGACCTCAATCTGCAGAGGCAGCCTTGGTACCCACACGGTCATCTCAAGGGGGCTGCTCAGATGCTGATAGGTGAAGCTGACCACCACGTTCACCTTACCCTTCATTTCCTTCCCGTTGACAAAGATGTAGTCACACCTGTCAGAAACCTGAGGGTAAGAGGGAGAGAAGTGGGGCGGGGAGAGGTGAGCTTGCGTTAGAATCCACAGTTCAGGGAACAGAAAGGCACCATGTCTGTCTTGGGGTCACCACTGTGAGAGCAAAAAGAGGCTGTTGCTTTGAATGTGGTACCTGCTATTGGAGCAGATGCAGCCAGGATTCTGCAAATGTATTAAACACATTGATCCCCGCTGGACTGGTACATGAGTAACTGGTAAATAAAGTTGTACACGTCTATTATATTTTACTTTTCCATTTTTCATGTGTGTGTTGTGCATTTGTGTATATGTACACATGTGTGCCTGTGTGCTCCTGTATGTGGAAGCCCAAGGTTGATGTTGGGAATCATTCTAAATTGCTCTTCTACCTTATTCGCTGAGGCAGGCTCTCTCAATCAAACCCAGAGCTCCTCGATGTGGCTAATCTCACTGGTTAACTCGCATCGAGGATCTCATGTCTCCACCTTCTGAGGCTAGAATCCCGGGCAGGCCATCATGCCCGCCTAACATTTATGTGGGTTCTGGGGATCTGAACTCAGATCCTCACACTTGTATGACAAGCACTCTAACCACTGATGACCTCCTTAGTCCCTAAAGTTGCTCACCTTTAAAGCGTGCAGTGTGAGGTCACGGCATGCAACGAACTGTAAAAGGAACTCACCTGAGTTGGGCCACACCCCATGACTTCTATGTTCCATACTGTGTGGTGAGTACATTAATATCTGTTTACCTGTCAGGCTTCACACACGGCATTATAATTTTTTCCAGCAAGATGGTACTGTAAACTATTGTCGCTGTTGTACAAGGGCATCTCAGAATCTTTCTTTTACCCTTTGACATCTCCCTAGCCCGCTTCCAGTCCCTTGACCACTAAGATTCCGCCCTCTGCTTCTTCCTGTTCGACTTTCTTAGATTCTACATACAGACTCCTCAGTACAGTGTCTTCTAGGTTCATCCATGTGCTACAAAGGGTGGGATTCCCTTCTTTTTCACTGCTGAATGGTATTCCATTGGGTACAAGTGTCCTTTGCTTCATCTGTTCTTCTGTGGATGGGAATATATGTTGTTTCTTTGTCTTGGTGATTGTGAATGACTAAGTGAAGGATCTTGATTAATGGAGTCACCTGAGAAGATTTGGGTTAGTCCTAGATGTGTTCCAGATGTGCTTTTGCGATGAGGCAGTCACTGTGGCCACAGATGTGGGAGGCTGTACTCCAGCATGAAGATGGGGAAGGGCTAGGAATAGGGCCAGTGGACTGAGAAGCTGAAGAATCCCAGAACTGGGTGGGAGCACAGCCCTGCCCAGAACCTTCAGCCTTCAGAACCACAAAGGAATGATGCCTTCCCTCACAAGCCAGCAGGGTTTGGGGACTGGTTCCAGCAGAGCGAGGACCACAGAGGAAGTGTGCTGGGCTTTGGGGCCAGGGATGCATCCTTCACTACCCTGTGCTTTTCTGGTTTGGATGCTGAGTAGGGAAGGCAGATGTGGTGTGGTCCCCCATTCACTGAGCACCAAATGTGTCCGATATAGGGCATGGCTGGCTGTTGAGCTCCCCCACCCCCAGGCATCGTCTCTCTGTGTCTGATACAGGGCAGAGCTGGCTGCTGAGTTCCTCTGGGACCTCAGGGAGGCAGGTGCTGTTATTACCACTTTTCACAGATGCTAAACCCAAGGCCAACACACACCAACTCCTGACTCCTCCACTTCCCAGGGCCATGTTGAAGAGTCAGGTCCAGGATGCTCTGTCCCCCACAGATCCCTCCCATCATGGGCACCTGTAGATAGATTTAGTCTCAACTTGACACACCTGGGTAGAGGAGGCCTTAATTGAGGAATTGTCTCCATTGGACTCACCTGTGGCCATGTCTGTGGGGCATTTTCTTGATTGTTGAGTGATGTGGGAGGGCCCAGCCCACCGTGGGTGGTGCCACCCCTGGGCAGGTTGTCTGGTATTGTATAAGAAAGCAGGTTGAACACAGGCCAGAGAGAAAGCCCAGTAAGCAGCATTCCTCCATGGCCTGTGCTCCAGTTCCTGCCTCCAGGTTCCTTCCCTGAGTTCCTACCTTGGGATCCCTGATGAACTGTGTGACCTGGAAGATGTAAGCCAAATAAACCCTTTCCTTCCCTAGTTGGCATTGGTCAGAGTGTTTTGACACAGCAATGGGGAAACAAACTAGAGCAGCACCATTGCCATCCAGGGCTCTCCTGCTTTTAATCTCTTTGAAGAAATGAAAACCTCCTTTAACACTTAAAGAGGTATGAAGGAAAGCACACAGAAATGACCAGGTTGTGCAAACATGGCAAATGGCTTTTTAGAGAGGGTGCTTTTTATCTGGCACAGAAGTAGCACTGATGCCAATCTCACAGGACGGGTTATTGTGAGGCTTGGCCTGGGCAGGGAGGTCGATCAATAGTTGGAAGAGAAATGGGCACCCAGCTCCATTGAGGAGTCTGAGGACTTTGTCATCTTCAATATCTGCCAATAGCAAAGGTACTTAAACCTGATTGTGATGTCTGCTGGGACAAGCTCAGGCTGCTTTATTCTAATTTGTAGCTGGCCATGGCTTGCCTTGCTTCAGGGCCCAGGGAGTCTTTAATCTAAGCCTTTTCTCTTTCAAGATTTCCACTTATTACTCAGGTTGAGCAGTCTCAGAGGGTCAGATTTCCTGAAAAATTGAGAGAGGCTTGGAGAGGAAAAGAAGAAAGGAAGTAAAGGAGTGAAGGAGGGAGGGAGGGAGGGAGGGAGGGAGGGAGGGAAGAGAGGGAAGGAGGAGAGAACTGAGGACAGAGGAGGGAGGAATGTGGAAATGGGGGAGGAAGAAGGAAGGGGAGGAGGGAAAGGCAGAGGGAGGGAAGACTGGAACAAATTGTTGGTAAGACTGATTTTCAGAGCAATGGACTCCGTCACAGATTTAACTCTCAGAGTCTTTCTGGAAAGCAGGCATCCCATGTAAAGGAGTTGGGGCATCTTGAGCCAATAGCCATATAGCTCCCCTTTGCACTGAAGGAGGTACAGGCCTGGGTGTACTAGGTGTGGTTTTTGATGTAGAACTGCCTTTATCTTTGTTCTTTAACTCAGTATTTATTCCTTGAGGTGATAAGACAAACGATGAGCATTTGTACAGATGAGGCTTTGTGGAGGGTGAGCCAGACTTCACACCACAGAGTACATTCAGAACCTTGAAACTGCTGTCCTGACTTCATGGAGCGTTGATATACACATGCAGTCCTGTGTTTGGAATTTTGAGAATCTGCCTCCGTCCCCACATGGCACGGTCTACATCCTAAACACAGAGGCAGTTGGGAGAGCTGCTTGCTACTGGTTTCTAGTTCTTCTTCAGGCCTATAGGGGAACTTGTCCTGCATCACTTGCTGTTGATCAGGGATGTGACCACCACAGGCTATGAGGTGTGAACAGCAGTGACAGGTGTCATTTCCTAATTGGGACAATTACTCTCCAACTAGGGATTGTCTGTCTCTCCTGCCCTGTAGCAGGTACCTGGCTAGTGTTGAGATGGTGGGTGGTATAAATCCAGGATCTCAGAGTTGGGCATACACAGAGCTGCTGGCACAGCAGGGTCAGAGCTGCCATGAGACGAGCCCTTCCTTGAGGTGAGTCACTGCAGCCCTGGGTTATTTGTTACCTCTGTTCATGGAGCTCATCCTGACTTTTGCCACACACAGGGCCAGGTTCTGATGACTGTATTAATAAATCAGAGCCTGCCAAATTGATGACTTATTAGGCTAGACCTGGCTAAGTAAGATGTGAAAACAGATCAAGGAGGCAGCAATGAAGGTTCCAATTACTGAAAACCCAGGCTGAGCCAAGAATGTAATTGAGGTCGCCACTGAGAGTGAGGACTCTGTTGTTAAGTGACCTTACACACATCACTCCCCACACCCAGGTTACAGGAGGTGCCTGTCTACCTAGAGGGACAGTCAAGGAAGGGGAGTAGATGCAAACAGGAAATACTACTCAGGGAGGAGAGATACAGCCTGCCAGCTTTGCCTAGAGCTGGTGGGGAGGGACAGAGAGGAGGAACTTGACAGAATACACTGATGGTAGCCTCTTGGCAAGCTTTTGGTGGTACCTGGACATAGTTTCCCTGAGTTTGTGTGCTTAAGATTAAGGAGTTTTGGCTATGTCCTAGGTGTACCAGCAGTCACGAACCGTGATTTTCTTCCATTTAAAAATATTTGTGTGTGTATGGGGGGGTGTATGAGTGTACACATGCATGTGGAGGCCAGAGGACTACCTCAGCTATCACCCTCAGGAATACCGAGATACTGAGACCCTTTGAGATAGGGTCTCTCATTGGCCTGGAACTCACCAAGTATGCTAGGCTAGCTGGCCAAGGAGCCTCTGGGATCTTCCTGTCTCTCCTACTTCCCCAGTAGGTCCTCTCCCCCTGCAACTCTGACACCCACCCTCTGCCCACAGCCCTGGCCAAAGCACCAGGTAGTTAAACCTCACAAATTCCCTCTCTGGGAGAGGAACTGAAGAGATTCAAACATCTAGGTAAGCCAACCGACTTCATCACTTCTCCTTAAAATATGACGAACAGCACATGTCAAATAATTTATTAACTACCACTTTACAACACTGACGGCTTCAGAGGATGATCTATTAACACCCCTGAGCTCCCTCCATAATCCATTTCCAGCCAGTTGCCTTGCTCCGAGATGGAGATAGAGTTAATATTTCTGACTCTCGTGTGCATAATCCCGGCACTTATGTGAATTTAATACCATTTCCTTCTCTTCTGTTTCAATGTTGGGTGAATTGAAATCTTATCTAAATATCACTAACATTCATGGAAAAATTTATGTTCTTTTGATATTGTTTCTTTCCCTTTTCTTTTTCCAAGTGCTAAAACTAAAGATACCCTTCAAACTGGGCAACAGAAACATCTCACAGGAAAGCTGGCATCCAAGTGTAAAGCTGGTGGTACCTTCTTATGTGGCGTCTTTGTCTTGGATGGAAACAGCA